ATCAGATATGTGCTTACCAAGTGTTGGACATTACTTATGGTACATATACCATCAGATATGTGCCTACCAAGTGTTGGACATTACTTATGGTACATGTACCATCAGATATGTGCTTACCAAGTGTTGGACATTACTTATGGTACATATACCATCAGATGTGTGCTTACCAAGTGTTGGACATTACTTATGGTGCATGTACCATCAGATGTGTGCTTACCAAGTGTTGGACATTACTTATGGTGCATTACCATCAGATGTGTGCTTACCAAGTGTTGGACATTACTTATGGTACATATACCATCAGATGTGTGCTTACCAAGTGTTGGACATTACTTATGGTACATGTACCATCAGATATGTACTTACCCAGTGTTGGACATTACTTATGGTACATGTACCATGAATTATGGGCAGAAATAGTAAAGACAAACTATTTCCAAAAATAACAGTAATTGTTAACTAACATGTTAAGCCTTTTTGAAAAATTGGGAAATATGACTGTTACTAATGGCATTGCTGTATTTTTTTCTATAATAGCCGAGAAATATTACCTGAGTTTTTTATGGGTTGTGCCGATTATCGTAGATACCCAAGTACAAATTGAGAACTGAACTTAAGTATGAAATAGAGGTATTGCACACATATCCTGTGTATAAGTTGAGGGGATAGTTTAAAGGTAAAAACTTGGCTTTTGTATACTTATTCTGTTTTAATTTTAGATAAATTTCTTCCTCGTGGTTTCCTCCGAAACTTAAGTTTACCATACTAATCTTTAGAAGAAGTAAAGACTCACCCAAACAAAGAAAGGGTAAAAAAATAAAACTATGTAGGTACATGTATGACATTGCCATAGTAAAGAACAACAAAACAACTCTTCATTGACACTTTCACTAAATATGTATTCTATATCAGCACGTGTATCTTTGTAAGTATTTTCTGTATCATTATCTTCAATCTCAAGGAAATATTTGTAAATCAAGTTACTGCAAACGAACAATATAGTAAGGCAAACCAACCTCAGGGCTCTTGGAAATAAAATGAAAGGAAAAGTTTATAAAATTTTTTATGGATTTTGTATTCCATTTATAAATCGAAGTGAACAAAAACCATAGTATCCAAGTGTGACTTATACATGGGTAAAAACGGTAAGTTATGTTTAAATTTTTGTCAGATGTTTAATAAAAAAACTGAACAAGTTGAAATACAGCCATAAAACATTGACTTTTTTCTTCTCACAAAGAGGCGTACTTATTAATTTTGAGATTGATTGTAACGTTTGTTTTAGTTTTTTAGAGTAAGGAACAATTTAGGGTGTTATTTTTACAAAAAAAAAATGAATTATTAATGTAGAGAGGTATGCGGGGTGGGAGATGGTTCAAAATTCATATCTGAACTTTTAAAACGGAGATTATTAAGTGTGAGAAGAAAAGTTTCCTCTTGAAATTTGCTTGAGTCTGTTATATCCTGTAACAATTTAATCTGTGACATTAAAAACTTATTTTCTGTCATTTCTATTACCAGTTTAAACGTTCTTAAACATCTCAAGATTTTTTAAATCTCTACATGAAACACATCCACACCTGTACACTGTCTTAATGACTACCAGTATGGAGGTAAGACTAATGTATTTTTAAAACTTGACTATTTGTGACTACCAGTATGATGGTAAGACTAATGTATGACTTGACTATTTGTGACTACCAGTATGAAGGTAAGACTAATGTATAACTTGACTATTTGTGACTACCAGTATGATGGTAAGACTAATGTATGACTTGACTATTTGTGACTACCAGTATGAAGGTAAGACTAATGTATAACTTGACTATTTGTGACTACCAGTATGGAGGTAAGACTAATGTA